CATAAAAAACAATATTAAAGAATTATTTAATGTTAGGATGACCAGATGTCCCAATTTGTCCTGCATTTTTCACTTCTGCCCCCCTTTCCCTCAAACCAAAGCAGTATCTGGCTTTTGCCTAGGTCATCTGATATATATTTAAAATAAAATGGTAAAATAGTCCTAAATAAGGACTATTTTACTAGTTTTGTCACAAAATTATCTGTCATCTCTTTAAGCTTAAAAGGTAAAGATATGATGGAAACAATGGAAAAAGAAAATAAAATGCAGCCATAACAAAGACTGTGGAATGGTTTATAACTGGGTGAGGTAGTGAAAGGTGATTCTCAGGGAGCTTTTGGTGAAGTTTGCAAAAGTTGTTTTTCAATTCGATCCAAGGGGAGCGATATGTAAACAACACTATAAAAGTAATTCACAAAAGAAACACAAAGCTGAAAAAACCTTGTCTGTCCCATATTGTCCCTCGTAAGCATCCTACACTGCAAAAAATAGAAATCTGGATAACAACTTTTTTCATAAAATAAGTCAATTTGTTCTTGAATTGACGAGATAAGTAAGACACTTTGCCAATGGAACAAGACAATTCACATTTAAAATAAGAAAAAAAACAAGTGCATATTATCTAATTGTCTTATTTTAAGAGTAAAAATATTCATCACATTGGCAAATCATGTTATTTACCTACTCAAATTAAGGGTAAATAAATTTAATTTAAAGACATTCTTACTTATTTCTAGGTCGTTTTTGCAGTGTAACTGTGCCACATTAGTCTTTTTTTTTTTTTCAGATCTGGTCACCCTATTTAATGTTAACTTATTCACTGCAAATCAAATAAAAAGTTAACTTTTATGAGCAAGATGTTGTTACTCTTTTAAAAATATATAAGGATACTAATAAAAAAACCTGAAGTAAGAATACTAGTTTAGTAGTAGAGTGCACAAGTTGAGCATACAGACTATAAACTATAACATTTGCTGAAAGAACAACTAACTTGGAGCAGTAGTTTTGCCAAAACAATTCAACGTTTATATATATAGTACTGATCAAAATCTTAAGACAGTGAAAAAAATTGTATGAATTTGCATTTTGTACAGTTGGATGAATGTTCAAAGAGCTTCAAAATGTTTAAAGAAGAAGGGGAAACAAGAGAACAACAGTTGTGATCAGGCAATTTGTAAAAAACAAAAAACAAATTGACTTAAATAGGCTGTTCATCAGCTGATCAAAACTAAGACCACAGTAATTAAAAGCCAAAATCTGTGCAGATGTTTGGATTACATGTTTTTTTTTCTGTCAGGTAATCACACTGAACATCTCTAGATGGTAAAAACAAAAAACTCACCCTTTTTGAATGTGGTAGGATTGTTAAGGGGCATTAACTAAGCTTCTCACAAGGTTGAAAACAGTCATTTTAAAATTCTTAAATGATCCTCAGGGTTATGAAACTAAATATTAAATGGCAGACCCAAAAAAAACTTCCCTCCGTGACTAAAAGCACTCATTGAAAATGTGCATCTGTGTGTATACTTTGTGATCACAGGTCAGGTTGCACTCTATTACTTATTGGTCCAGGCAGGGTTCTAAATGGGAATAATTGTGGATAAACAAGTTGATTTTCAGTTCTGATCTCTGTGTTTTACATGAGCGGCTGGATAGTTTGAAAAACAGACTCTTGCAGGACTCAGACAGAGTCTGTGATCCGCTTATAATGAAGAGAGAATATTCTAGGATGTTGTTGTGGAATAATGCTTCCTCAGTTGGCCTTCTAGGGGGCCCACCGCACACAGCAGGATATCAGGTCAAGATGATTCCAACATGATGGATCTCCCTGATTTACATTCAGAGAAATGAAAACATTTGACCGATTTTTTAATCTTTTACCTGATCCAGCTTATTGGCCACAGCACTGATGATCGCCTGGTCTCTGAAGTGTTGATGGAACCGCTCAAAGTTCACCTGCCAGTAAATCCCTTCATCACCATGTGTCTGAGCAATGGTGATGAAAAAATAAAAAGTCAATCACATTATAAAGGACCTGAAAATAAGTAAAGTTAGAGATTTCCAATAAAACCAAACAATCGCTGACCGTTGAGTCCATCTTGGCCCTTTTTGCATTCCTTTGATCCTCTCCTTCCTCAGGGACGAGCTGCCGTTTGCCCCGTCCAATGAGCGTAACCTGGGGTACAATGTAGCAGTTGGGAAAGCTTTCTGGATTTGGCAGTGCGGTGCTGATAGCGGCTGCAGGAGCTGCAGGGGTGGCAGGAGCCTCAGCTTGAGCAGTGCTGCCTGTAATTCCTGCTCCCCCCATAGGAGGGCAGCGCTGGAGGAAATGTGTTTCCACTAGTTTGGAAAAGGTGGAAGACACTTCACTATAATCCAAGCTTTGGCCTTCTATAATAGCAAAGGAGACGAAAGATTACATAAATGTATGAAATAAATAAAAAACTTTAATATATCCAAATACAAGAACAGCAGCTAAAACATCCCTCTATGTACAATAAAACTGACCCTCCATGTTCTGTGTGATTCGATCTGCAACCGTCTTCACTGTGTTGCTCATAGTCATGTGGCCTCGCTGCAGCAGCTCCTCTATGATCAGCTCGCCTGTGTCGCCGTACAGCGTTTTGGCTGTGTAGATGTAACGCGGGTAGCGCAGAATTCTCAGGACTCGATCACAGCAGGCCCGATACTCTGTGGGGCTGCCGGGTCCTTTACGGCCAGCGGTGAATAAACAAGCCCCGTGCTGCACAAGCACGCACAGACATTTCTTCACCTTTATTAAGGAAGACAAAAAGAAATGTTAAAATACACCCATTGTCCTTGATCTTTTTTTACACATTAATAGACTACACTGCAAAAATGCACTTTTTTGTTTATATATTGGTCAACATTTATCTGTTATCATAAGGGAAAAGAATAGATAAATAAATCCTTAAAATAAAAAAGTATCTGAAATACAGCAGTAGAATTCATTGGCTGCAAAATGTGAAAACTGATCCATTATCTTAAGCAGAAAAATGATAGATGGCTGTACCATATCCACAGAGAGGTTGGTTTCATGAACGATGGTCCTTAAGTTTTGTGCTCCACTTCGGAGCAGGTGAGTTCCCACCTTCTCCACCACCTCCCCGAAATGCTCCCTCAGTAGGAGGCCACACAGTCGGATCTCCTGGGCCGTCATCTGCATGGTGGTAATTATTTGTTGTTTCAATGTTTTCAAAATATCAAATCCCAAAGATCATCACAGCATCCATCAGTGTAATAATTTAAATGCAAAAAACTGCTTGGAAACAAATACGAAAAAAGACGCTCTAGTCATATAAGATGATCCACCCTTTTGTCCTATAGATAATTGCTATGTGTGGTGTTAAACGCACCAACCTCGCCAAAAACCTCTACCCTCATTGTTACACATGGCAGTGGCAAAATCAAGACGTGGTAAACAAGTTAATGTCAAGGTTATTAGAAGCTATAAATCGGAACATTCAAGAACAAAACCTGTTTAAGGCAGCAAATGAATTAAGACTGGAAAAGAAATTCACCGTCCAGGAGTAAAAAGACCCCAAATATAAAAGCTATGAGAACTGGGTTTGGATCAAAGTATATTCATGGTGCAAAGTCCAGACCAAAATTAGCTTATAAATCTGTTGCAAAATCTTACAAGTTGATGTCAAATCTGATCAAGATTCAGCCATTTTGCAAAGGAAAACACTCTAGAAGGGAACATCTTGTAGAAATGTGTACATGCAATTTGCTTATTTCAGGGGACTGCCTGGTCAGTAAAAGATGCTTTCTAATTATATAACTACCATGCATTCAGACCTCTGACTATCACACTGTGTCACAGTGGATTGTTTCAAAAGCAGTGTAAAACTGATTTATTTTAAGAATAAAGCAGATTAAATGAAAACACCCTTGATAATCCACCACAAACCCTATCACTAACTTGATTACTTTTTTTTTGTTATCCTGAAGGTATATACTGTTTCTCAAGACTTACAGCACTGACTGTAGGGAATAAGGTTTTCTTTATTTTTTTTAAAGACGCTGAAAAAATATAGCAACTAATGAAAGGCGATGCAATGCAAACTATTTCTTATGGCACTTGGTTTGTATACAGTAAAAAGAGGCAGGGTGTATGATGAATACTTCAACTACCATCAACATTATGTGACTTTACACTCCAGAAAAGTTACCTAGAATAGAAGGTTACACAGAGGACACTAATAATGTGAGCCTTTTTGTCAACTATAGCTTTTAAAAGACTAAAACTTTAAAATCTGCCACTTCTCCTGCATCAAGCTCGGTGAGTTAAACATAAACATTAACTTAAACACACCAGGTCCGAAAAGATAAAAGCTAGCTAGCCTTTAAACAGGATACCTTTACCATTTTATCAGTGCTAACCAACCTTGTATACAAATAACTGACAGCAGAAGAGAGAAGTTTGCTGCTATGCTTCCCAGAGACCGCTGACTCTCCTCACATGCGGTTCGTAGATCACAACACAGAAACACTTCCGCCCTCCGCTTCTCCTGGTTGGTGACTCCCTGTGGTGGCGCGCCGCCTGTCGGACTGGATGTATATGGAATATGGCAAGTAAAATTATCACATAATGAAGATGCGGTGAACCATGCAATGTTTCAGTCAAAGTTAAATGAACGCGTTTTTAAACGTTCGTGTTAGAACCCCCGGTAGTTTTACGTGACAAATGTTTAATGGTAGTGATGAATTAATTTTATTATACAATGTGCCATGTCTATAAACAATCGACGGCTTATTGGTTTACACGTTTAAAATAATTTGATACGGTTCATATAAAAAATGTTTTTTTTTTCTCAAGTAGCAACGTCGTTTCCACTATTAAAGTATTTATATGTTTGGATATTTATTAGAAAATTTAAGGCTGTCTTTAGGAAGTCTAAATATAAAAGCGGTTTGATTATATGCTACAATTGGCTGCCATACCTTGTGGACAGCCGTCTTCGGCTGGTGGAGGATCGACGTCACTGTTTGTGCTTCTTTGGGGAAGATGGCGGAGGCTGCGGCTGTTCCCCCGCATCGGTTTTTCTGTCATTGTTGTAAGGGAGAAGTAAACCCTAAACTCCCAGTAAGTAAGGCGACTTTCGTTCATACTGTGTTATTTTGTAGAATACCGCGAACTGACAGCGCTGTCTTTCGGCGACTAGTTTAGTCTCTCGGCGGCTTGCTAAAGCTAAACCCAGCTAGCCTGTTAGTGCCTGTTAGCTCCGTCCGTTTGTTGTTGTTGTAAAGTCATGAAATAAACTCTCGGTAATGCTTGTAAAGCCGACTCTAAAAGCCGACACTGTCTAGTTATGTTATGTTTAAACCTCCATCATGATTCTAGCCCAAAAAACTCTTTGATTGAAGATTTACTTTGATAGTTGAGATATGTTATATGCAGGGGTCAATTTGTACTAACCAAGATCAAGGGTAGTCATAGTAATTTGATTATTCTCATTAATCATGTATTTATCATTAGCTGACAGACATTGGACAGCTGCTGTTTCTGATTAAATTTATTGTTGTCAAGACGAGTTGGGGAATTTTCTAGAGTGGTTGGTTTCAGTTTTGTTATCAAAAGTAGTAGACATTTCTCACACTTTGGTCAGCTTGGCACTGCTTATGTTTTAAGGGTTATATCTACTCATTTTCTTGATACTAATCCGGCTTGATACGGCTTCAATGCTCTTTAAACTATCCGAATTATTATATTTTATTTATCTGTAGATTTTTCGTATGGTCTCATGGATAATTTTAGATTTTACTCAAAGTAAAGATGTGAATTTATAAGTTGGTCTAAGAAACAAGGTCAGACATTTCATGTTATTACATATTTGATTTAAGAAATGCATTGTTCTTTTTTGTGGTTGGACAGAAAAAAAAAAAAAAACTTGCCCCAAACGTGAAAATGCTCACCTGAATAGTCTTTGAGAAGGAATAACATGGTGGAAAACTAACCTTCAACAGCATTATTCTTGCCTTTGTTCCCTGAGGTGTTATTTCTGTCATACTGGGGAAAGAGCAGATAACACTCCATTTATGAGACAGGATTCATTGTAGAAAGAATTGTTCTATTGTTTCAACAATGCCGCCTCGTTAAATACAGAGTTTTCACTATTGCCTGGTCTGTCAGATTTTTAAAAAGCTGTTAACCTTTCCAAATCCAAAGTCTTCCTTAACAGACAGAGATTGAAAGCTCAAAAACAGCTGTTATACATTAACTGTATTACAGTAATGCTGAGATTTAGCCTTTCTATTATCTGATCAACTCTTGCTCTCTGTTGTTGCTGTCTGAATGAGTAGTTGGCATGCCTTTGTGGAGAATCTGATCTTCTCTAACATTGCCTCTTACACCTTTTTTATTTCCCAAAGTTGACTAAAGAGCCAACTTTGACTCATCTTCCAAACAGGAAGTGGTTCTAACAGATCTTTTGACTCTTAAAACAGATTTTCTTTTTGTTTCTGGCCCCTCGGTTAAGCTAAATATCATACTGCCGATAGCCTGTTTCCTGGTGCATTTGGTTATCTTTTAGCTCCGTTCGACAACTACCAAAATTGTTGGGTAAAATCTTAACCACTTTTTTTCTATAACTGGCCTCCTATGTTATTATGTCAATATTTTATTTCAGAGAAATGTTTACTTAATGTTTGACCAACTGTTTTCTGAGTTGTTGTGTTTTTGTTTTTTTGTTTTTTTTATTTTAGAGTTTTATTTCTACTTTTATTAGTATTAGACTTGGAGAAAGTGGAGGTTTTGAGTCATTCTAAGTAAAAGTTGATAACCTAAAGTCTATTTGAACCTTAATAAATCTATTATTTACATTTTTATCCATCTGCCCTGTCACTGACTTGAAAAGGGTTTGCGGCTCTAAAGATAATTTAGTCCTAATGACATGTTAATGAGCTGCATGACTTCAACACCCAAGCATTCTGTGTTTCCCCAGTACGATTTTTCATTTATCTAGAATCGTGTGCATTTTCTGAAACAGAAAAGATAAACTTGGAAAATGACAGTGGATTGACGCAATCTGTTACTGCTTACAGTTCCGTTTTTGAGCTGGTTTAGAGCATAAATCTGGTTTCAGATCCTAATTTCTGTCAAATCATCAGATTTATGGGATTAGTCAGCATGTAAAATAAGTGTAACTCTAATCATCACCTTGTTGTGTGTGTATGTTGGAGAGCCCTCTTCGGCCCTGTTTTCATAGATAAAGTCTGGCTTTTATTGGTAAAAGAAAATGTGATCCAGGAGCATAAGCTGACGTTGCCGTTTTCCTTATTCTGACTGTTTACCACTTTAGGCGTGGTTGGCCAGACCAGCTCTACCTCTTGGGTTGCATTCATAAAAAAAAAAAAACTGGCTGTCATTCAAAAGGGACAAATATTATCCACTTATGTTATTTGTTAATTTAGTGATCAAGTAAATTAATGTACATTTTATTAGCATAGAAATGTAGCTCTGTTCACCCAGGATTAGAGTTTGTATATAACTTCTTTGCCATTAGCTTTAATCAGTAATCTATAAAATTTTGTTTTTTTATTGGCTGTTTTGTTTAATGGGGAGTATCAATGATCCTCTCCCTATATCAGCTAAAATTATCCTTTAAGGTATTTTTTCTTATGGTTTTGTCTTCTTCCGTGTAAAACAAGCTGCTTCATATTTTTCTCTTCATCCTATTTTCTAGTTGTAGGGTTTGCCAAGTCATAATATCTAAATAGTCACTTTCAGTTTCTGGGTATCTATAAATAAAGGAAAAACAACTCACTTTCATTACACATGGAGTGAAATATTTCAAGCATTTTGTTCTTGTAATTTTAACTGATATGTCTTCCACATACCAAAAACCTGTCTCAGAATTTTGAATATTACATAAGATCAATAAAAAAAAAATTGTATTCTAAATATAAATGTGTTGCTTCTACAAAGTATGTTTATTGCTTTATTCAGTACTTGGTTGGGTGCCTTTTACTAAAAAGGGGCACTATGGAGTTTCCTAATGATACTACACTCTTCTGCTCATTGTCGTAGCTCACCTCACGATTATACTCAACTTGTTTTTTTTTTTGTTTTGTTTTTTTGTATATTTTTTGTAATGTGGAGTTTCCATTGGTGTTTGAGTTGAGCTGGATGTCGGTTGCTTCTGACTATCCTTAAAATCCATCTTGAATATAACGCATCGATTGTTTGCTAGTTTAGACCCATTTAACGTATCTTTATTTGAGCTCACATTTGCCGAACAGCGCAGGAACTTCCAACCCAACGTAAATGAAGGAAATTAGGCTCCAGGCTTATAGAGGAATCTGTGCTGAACTTGTGAAGTGTCAGTTTGCTCATCAAATAATGTTTTAGTCATAAGGGTAAAATAAAAAGGCTATTTTAAGGATATTTTGTCTCCTTAACTTTCTGGCTCAGTGTGGTGTGGCATGGAGGCGGCAGGCCTGTGGTTTGGCTGAAGTTGCACACCATCCAGGTTGTTTTAATAGTGACCTTCAGGTCATCTGCATAAATCCCTCATCATAGATTTGGTAAAATCAGTTTTCTAGCCAACCACTGATGTTCTGGTCCTTACCCCAGGGCCAAGTGCTACTGGGAAATGAGATCAGCCTCTTCATAAAGCCCACAGCAGAGGGAAGCACAAAGGGCTCATAAATGTTCTGATTGATGATTGTGTTGACTGAGAACTTCAGGAAACCCTGTGGTCTAACACCATCAGATGAAATGGCAGTAGTAACAGTGGAGACATAACGCAGGACCTAAAGCAG